GCTTCTGGACCTTCTCTCATTTGTCAAAGTGAAGTCTTCAAAGTGGATCCTTCTCCAGCCCCTTCATGTTTTATTTTATTTATTTATTTATTTATTTATTTATTTGCAACTGGGGATTGAACTCAGGCCCTTGCGCTTGCCAGGGAAGCGCTTATTCTACTGAGTCATCTCCCTGGCCCCTCCAAGTTTTATTTTAAATACCAGTTGTTTGCCCCAGAACCAAAGCTCTGAATGCAAGATTTAATACTCAATATTTTCCATCAGATTTTGAGCTGTGTGAATTGAACTTTCTGGTTTCCTAATATATACCACCCCTCCCACCCAGTGTCTTCTCTTATCCCCTCCTCTGCAGCTTTAGCCGAATGTGGCACAAAATGTTTCCTTTTCCCTCCCCCATCCTTCACAGGTAAGTCTAGCTCTGCAAGGCTTCATTCCATCTTTCCTGTGGCCCCTCTGCAGAAGTTTGAGTTTTTACAGCAGATTAAAGTGCCTGCAAAGAGGTGCATGGGCCAGGGGTTTGATCCCTGGGCCTGCCTTGCCGGCCCCACCCCCTGGGGCATGCTGAGAGATGATGGAGACTGGGCATGGTGGTGTGCTCCTGTAATCCCACCTCTTGGGAGGCTGTAAACAGGCAGATCACTACGACTATGATCTAGTAGCAAGACCCTGAATACCTGGTAGATACTTCCCTAAAATACAAAAGAAGAAGAAGAAGAAGAAGAAGAAGAAGAAGAAGAAGAAGAAGAAGAAGAAGAAGCAGCAGCAGCAGCAGCAGCAGCAGCAGCTTGAGCTGTTAACGCTGAAGGTGAGATACATTTCACTAGGAGATACATAAGAAATGAACGTAGATGAGAAAGGAGACAAAGTGGAAATGCAGGAAAGACCATTTAGATCACCATCCTCAACTACAGGTGCTCTGTGTGCCCCACAAACACATGTGGCAGTGTCTAGAGATAATTTGGTGTCACAACTAGGGGGGATATCATTGATATCTAGTAAGTAAAACCCAGGACCAGGAGTAAAATCCTGTAGTGCTCAGGATAATGCCCTACAATAAAGAATCATCTGGTGCCATAGTGGAGAAGCCATCAGAGAAGGTAGAGGAGTGTTGTATGTTACCAGTCGGTGCCGAAAGAAAGGAGGAATGTAGGTTCAGAGTTCTCACTGAGATTAGGCTCTCTCCAAGTGAGCCCAGAGCCTCAGAAGCATCTCACATTTATTGAAGGGTAAAGGCAGGCTAAGGAATGTGCATAATTACCTAAGTGAATACAAACTACTATCTTGATTAACTTCCACCATTTGCCTAACACTAGGTTCACACGAATGCTAGCCCATAATATCCCAAGCAAGGGATCAAAGGACAGGGCACCTGCAGGAGAAGCTGTTATCTGCAGCCTTGAATCCCAGCTTTCTGGGAATTTGCAAATAGACAGAACCCTCCTCAGGCTCTGTCTATTGTTCCCTGCTCGCTTGGCACATCAGGCTTTTGTCTCAAATCTATATCTCTACAGAGGAGAACGCAGGTGACAGTGGTGCTTATGGAGCAATGAAGGAAGAAGAAACAGGGGAGTAGGAGGTGGGATGCTAGCTGGGGCGTGCACGGAGGGAGCACGGCACCTGAAGCTCTTTGTCCAGCTGGGCGTGCAAGTCTTCCATCCCTGGGGGCAGCACCAGCCGGGCTGGCAGGCTCTTAGAGCGCCTCAAAAGCATGGGGTTTGCCCCGTTGAGGAACTGGTACCCGAAGAGGGCGTCATCCTTCCAAGAGTCATAGACCCTCTCTGAGGACAGGAGTTAAGGGTACAGTGTGAGCTCTGAGCTCTAAGTGCCAGTGTCCTTGCTACCAATGACCACATACATCTCCTACTCTCCTTCCCCCTTCTTTCAGATCCCCAGGTTGGAATTCTGACCCAAGGGTCGGGAGGGTGTGGTAACTGACCAGCCAGAGGAGTCTTTCCTTTCGGGAATTTTTCCTTCACATCTTTTAGGCTTCTTATACAAACTGTAAAATCTAATGTCTCCTTGATAGCCAAATTCTTCAACCTGTACCAAAAGAAGTGTGCACGAAGATCAAGAAAGAGCCTACCTCGCAGCCTAAGAGCAAAGGGTCCGACCACGCCGGGGCCTCACCCTTTTATGAAAGAGAAGTTGAAATCAAAATCCTTATCCTCCAGGAACCGCTCGTCCCTCGGAAGGTCCTCCCGCGTCCTCCCTGCTA